ACATCCGTACGTTATGACTGTGTGGTACCACGGTACAGCCGTCGTCTGTACACATCCGTATGTTATGACTGTGTGGTACCATGGTACAGCCGTCGTCTGCACACATCCGTATGTTATTACTGTGTGGTACCACGGTACAGCCGTCGTCTGTACACATCCGTATGTTATTACTGTGTGGTACCACGGTACAGCCGTCGTCTGTACACATCCGTATGTTATGACTGTGTGACACCACGGTACAGCCGTCGTCTGTACACATCCGTATGTTATGACTGTTACCCTTATCCACACAAAATCCACGCACATCAAGGGCGCGAGGTAAGAAACGGTGGCGTGATGTCTCTTGCTGCGTTCGACCGCGACTGTATTTGTTGGGTTTGTCTGTCAGCATTTGATGTGTCGTGTTGTTGTGACGCCAGCAAGATTCACAGAGATATAAAATCCTGGTTCCTGCCACTGCCCCAGTTCTGCCATCTATATAGTCCCACTTCGTTCCCGTTCCATCAATGCTGTCTTCGCTCCTACCCATTTCATCCAAGCCGTATCTCCTGCTTTCCATTTCATCTATCTTGTCTTCCCCCTCTCCTGTCCATCCGTGATGTCTACTGTCCCTCTATTTATATTCATACTCCCATCTTTCTATCCATGTCCTCACTCCAACTTTCCATCCAGCATGTTAACCTTCATCTTTCGACCACTGTGTGATATGTCGACGGCAATGCGTTCACTCTGACACTGTTGTTCTTTGTTGCCTCATAAATAACATAGTTTCATTACCTAATAATTAATATCAGTACTTGGAGATTTAATACCACTAACCAATAGTCCGTGTCTGTAACAAGTGATTATAGTCAGTAACTAATAACTATTGTGTAGTAGTTGATATAGGTTCCCCTCGTAGCTCCCTGTCTAGCCATGGCCTTGCTCCATTCCTTGACCCCCGTGCCCCCTTGACCTCACTTGACCTCCCTTGACCTCACTTGACCTCCATTGACCTTACTTGACCTCCGTGACCCCCGTATTGAGGGTGCTGCCGGTGTCTCAGTTCCAGCGAGGCCAGGAGGATGGAATACACCCGCTACGCCTGAGAGTGACGATGAGGGGAAGATGTCGCGCACTACCAGCACCATCTACCAGTCATTCACGTCACCAACGTCAACGTGAGTTCTGCCTAGTACATCGCTCTGTAACTCTGTCTATCGGTATATCTCTCTCTCTCTCTCTCTCTCTTTCTCTCTCTCTCTCTCTCTCTTCTCTTCTCTCTCTCTCTCTTTCTCTCTCTCTCTCTCTTTCTCCTCTTTCTCTCTGCTCTCTCTCTCTCTTCTTTCTCTCTCTCGCTCTCTCTCTCTCTCTCTCTCTCTTCTCACTCTTTCGTCTCTTTCTCTTTCTCTTCTCTCTTCTTTCATCTCTCTCTTCTCTCTCTCTCTCTCTCTCTCTCTCTCCCTCTCTTTTGTGCGCTCTCTCTCTCTCTATTTTTCTGTCTCTCTCTCTCTCCCTCTCGTTATCTCTATGCTCTCTCTCTTTCTCCCTCTCTGCTCTCTCTCCCTCTCCCCTCCTCTCTCTCTCTCTGCTTCTCGCACTGCCTGTTCTTCCATCTGTCAGTCTCATAATCTCTTTTTCACCCCTCTCTCTCCCCTTCCCATTAGCGCTTTTGCCCCCACCCCCCACCACCCCTATACAAGTTTCTCATGGCTGTGGCGTGAACATGCAGGCTGAACGAGAACTACCAGCAGGCGGAGTCACTGTCGCGCGAGCTCAGCACGGCGGGCACGGCTACGCCGGGAACATCGGACAGCGAGGGATTCTTTATGCTGAAGAAGGACTCGGAACGACGGGCGACGCTGGTGCGAGTGCTTGAACAGGACAGGGACAAGGTAAGGAGGAGATGGAGCAGGGGCAATGAAGAGGAGGAGATAGAGCAGGGGCAATGAAGAGGAGGAGAAGAAGGCAAAGGATGATGGTGAAAGGGGATAAAGGAGGAGGAAGGAGGGGGGGGAAGGTTAGACTTGCCACACTAGTGTGCATGCTAGGCCATAACAGCAACGATGTTAGAAAGGAAGAAGAGAAGGAGGAAAGGGGTGAAGGTGAGGAAGGGAGAGCCAAGAGATAGTGAGCGTGCGAAGGGATGAGTGGTGGTAATCTATGACAAACCAAGATTTTAAAAAAACAAAATAAAATTAAAAAGATAAAAAACAACAAGATTAAAAAATAATAAAACAAATTTTTAAAAAACAAAAACAAAAACAGTTTAAAACAAACAAAACAAATTAAACAAGATTAAAAAACACGAGGTGACAAAGATTAAAAGCGATTCAAGAAGTCCTGCGATTACGTGCATGTTAGACCAAGACAGGAACGCGGTGCGGTGAACGAAAACGGGGGGAGGGCAAAGATGAGAAGGAGACCGGCGGCAGAGAAGGAAAAAGATGGAGGCAAGTGTGAAGGTGTGATGAAGGGAAGAAGGAGAAAAGAAGGAGGCTTTCCGCAGATTCGCGCATTTCCGGGTTTTGGTTTTTCTGGTCAAAATGGACACCATTTTTAATTTTAACTTTATAAAAAGTCGAGAACAGTACGTAAAATTTCACATAGAAGTGACGGAACTCCAGATAAATATCGCGTGGTATCTATGTAATGTAAAGGGTTTTACCCTATTCTCATGCGTACCGAAACTCGGTGACAATGGTTCATAGAAAATAACAATTCAGTGAAATATTTCCTCCAAAAACATCTCGACCTGTTCTCATTCCTGGAGGCTGAATGAGTAGGGTGGATAACGATCATGTGTGCTCCATGTTGACTTTCATCATCAGCTGTCTCTCTCATTGTCATGACTTCAGATCTGTGAGGTGTGGCTTCAGCTGGTGCACAAGGACGCTAAGGATACAGCGCTGACTACCGACCACCTGCATGTGCTCATCATGGGCATGAGGGAATCGATCGCTAGCAATAGCAAGCTCTACGTTCACGACACAATACGTATGTCTATTTATTACCTCCGTCCACGCCTCGTCGCTACTCTCGCCTAAGGAGCTAAATATAACAAGGAGAGGAAGCGCCGCCATATCTGGCCCAAATTTGGGTTCGGCAGAGACCCTAGAATAAATTAGTGTTCTATTGTCTCTGGGTTCGGGTCTGCACAGCCGTTTCAGCTGATTATGGTCCATAGATGGCGCCATTGAGGTGAAAGCACACAGCCAATCCGCTTCCTCTCCTTGTTATATTTAGCTCCTTGCTCTCGCTTACGTTTGCGATTGCTTCTAATTATGATCCTACGCTTGCTTAAAGCGCAGCGGTTAGGACTCCTACTCCTCCTCCTATCGCCGTTGCTAATTCTAGTAATATGTAGTCATAATATTCTGGCAAAAACGTGCAAAATATTCAGACTGGAAAAAGCTGACTATCTCCTACTCCTCCTCCTGTGCCTACAGTAGTTGCTGCTGTTTTTGCTACTGCCTTAGTTCTGTAATTCTGTTATGTTCTGGTCTGTAATGTAAATGTAATGTAATGTAATAGTTCTGTAATTCTTGCTGCTTGCTGCCGATTTTCAGATTATATGGATTTCAAGTATGATACAGTTTAGCGGTGTGAAATTCGGCAGCTACGCGTTCCCCGGATGGGCGGTGGCGGTCGGGTGGCTGTTGGCTCTTACGTCTGTCGCTGCTGCTGTTTTTAGCTCATCTGACATAGTCAGATGCAGCTTGTAGAATCGCTTGATCGTCCGTCCGTCCGTGCGTCCGTGCGT